TTCAGTAATTAAGATAATTAGAAAACTTTTTATCAAAAATCTTTAACGAAGTTGATACAACCTTGATAATTAAGATAATATCTTGTTGGAATAATTTGAATTATTGGCTACGCCGCTACGGTATTAAATATTTGAGGAAATTTGGAAAATTACTTCTTTTGACTTTTTAAATTTGAAAAATACCTCTCTTTTTAGTAGTTTTGAAAAATACACTTTATTGAATTTAAAATTACTAAAATATCTCCATAAAATCTGAACAAAATATTATATATTTTAAATAAGATTTAATTTGTTGTGATATATATATATATATCTTAAAGTTTAGTTGATCATATATTTTACAAGATTTATCTTATATTTGATATGAGATTATAGAAAATTTTATATAAAATTTTCTAAAATTATAATTATACAAAAGAAATATTCACTATTAATATGCCACAAAATATTTTTTAAACGACCCACATAGAATTTTTACATAAAATAAAATAAGCCTAAAAAGATATTTAATGAAATGTCTTATTAAAATTATAATTTTTTTATTTTGCTTCCAAAATTTGATACTCCTCTTTATATAATAAACGTAGGATATTATTTTAAATAGTTTATAATGTAATAAATGTTAAAAATAAACATCTTATATAACAAGAGAATGTTTTTTATATCTAGTAGTAAATTTTAAATTTTAAAACAACAAAAAAACTTTTTCAAATAAAAAAGGTAATATTAATATTGATAATATTTACGAATTAATTAATTTTTAAATCAATAACACACTTTATCTCAAATAAAAAGAAAAATAATATTAACAATAATTCTATTTACGAATTAATTATTTTTTTTTAAAGAACACAACTTTATCTCAATTAAAAATAGAAATAATAATAATAATTATTATATTTACAAATTAATTAGTTGTTAAATTAAATAAGGACAAAAGAGACTTTTAAATTATTGAAATAGGTATTTTTCAAAAACAAATAAAGCAAGGTGTATTTTTCAAATTCTCAAACATAATTGGTGTATTTTTCAAAATATCCCTAAATATTAAGTATTAGTCATTATTAAAGTGGAATTAACAAAACAAAATAACAAATGACACAAAAAAACACTTTGGAAAATTGTGATTAATTTCTAGTTAGTTTCGAAAGAAATAGGATGAAAATAGATATAATTAAGTTCATCTTTATCTCTTTTCATGCTTTTCAATATTTTTTTCAGGTAGCATCAATAACAAAAATTGTTGAGAAAAGAACTAACTAAAAAAACCATACATCAGAACGTAATCTTCGCAAAATCTTGAGATGATTCTTCCTCAACATGAATAATTCTGAGTATATTTTTTTTTCTTTCATAAATTAATATTTTATAACTGATTTTTTTTTTGGAACAAAATCTTTAAAGAGAATTTGATGAAGAATATACTCTTTTTCGTCGGGCTCTATATAATGATGATCGACTCCATTGTCAAATCATTAACAAAGCAAAGAAAAATAGTTAAGGTTCAATATGGCATTGAATCGTGTAGGACTTGTTTGCTCAGCCATCTTGTTGCTAAGCATCTTCGTCGTGAGCCATGCCGGAGTCACCAGTAACTACGTCAGAGTAGCTGAACCTTCCGAGGAGATGCCACTCGAAACCTTTCCTCCTCCTCCCGGTTACAACGCTCCCGAACAAGTAATTTTTCGATTTCTCTTTATCAAATCTATATTTGCTTTCGTTACTTGTGACTTACGGAATATTTTTCTTTCATTTTTTAGGTTCATATAACGCAAGGAGATCACAATGGTCGAGGTATGATAATCTCGTGGGTAACCCCGATAAATGATGAGGGATCTAACGTTGTTACATACTGGATCGCGGATAGCGACGCGAGTACAAATCAGACCGCTGAGGCGACAACGACGTCCTATAGATACTTCGACTACACTTCCGGTTTTCTTCACCATGCCACTATCAAAGGGCTTGAGGTTTGTAACTTGGGCTTTACTTTGTCTAACAAGTAATCTATCTATTTTGATTAGGGCTCTTAGTAATTTCTTCTTCTTTGCGCAGTACGTTACTAAGTATTTCTACGAGCTTGGAACCGGTCGTTCCACTAGACGATTCTCCTTCATGACTCCTCCGAAAGTTGGTCCTGATGTTCCCTACACATTCGGTGTTATTGGTAATCCATAGATTTATAATTTCAACAACGAACTTTAGTGTTTTGAAACTAATTTTCAGTAATCAATCTTACGTAACTCTGTTATTATTGCAGGTGATTTGGGACAAACGTTTGCCTCTAACCAGACATTGTACAATTACATGTCAAACCCTAAAGGCCAAGCTGTTCTTTTTGCTGGAGACTTGTCGTACGCCGATGACCACCCGAACCACGACCAAAGAAAATGGGATTCTTACGCTCGCTTTGTTGAAGCAAGCGCCGCGTATCAGCCTTGGATATATGCTGCAGGGAACCACGAAATAGATTACGCCCCATCAATAGTAAGACCCGATCTATATTTTATCTTTCCATAAAAAAAAACATTTTGGTTCTTGAATATTAAATCCAGTTACTAATCCGTTTGCAGGGTGAGACTGAGGCCTTCAAGCCATACAAAAACCGCTACCACGTTCCGTACAGAGCCTCGAAGAGCACATCTCCACTTTGGTACTCAATTAAACGAGCCTCTACTTACATCATCGTGCTCTCCTCTTACTCTGCTTTTGGTAAATATCTAAGATTCTCACACACTTCAATAGTCGAATCTGTATTTACATACAATCTTATATGTTTCTTACTTGCCACGTTATCATAGACAAGTACACACCGCAAAACTCTTGGCTCGAGAGTGAGCTCAAGAAAGTCAATAGAGAAGAGACACCATGGCTGATTGTTATGGTTCATTCGCCCTGGTACAACAGCAACAACTATCACTATATGGAAGGTGAAAGCATGAGAGTCACGTTCGAGCCATGGTTCGTCCAAAATAAAGTTGATATTGTCTTTGCTGGTCATGTTCATGCCTACGAGCGATCAGAGCGTGTCTCCAACATTAACTACAATATCACTGATGGTTTGAGTAGTCCCGTCAAAGACCCATCTGCTCCAATTTACATCACCATTGGAGATGGAGGCAATATCGAAGGAATCGCTAACGAGTTAATATCCTGCGAAACCATATAATTAATAGTACTTGATTAAAGTTTGTCATTTTGATTAATATCTTTCTTTTTTGTAGTTACACGTATCCACAACCGAGTTACTCAGCGTATAGAGAGGCGAGTTTTGGACACGCTATGTTAGAGATAAAGAATCGAACCCATGCACTTTACACTTGGCATAGGAACCACGATAACGAGCCTGTTATCGCTGATTCTTTATGGGTGAAGAACCGATATTTCCTTCCGGAGGAAGAGACATCTTTGGTGTGA